AAGGAGTCTAATTGGGTCAAAATGACAATAATTGGTTTAGTTTGATCATGACTTAATGGGTATAATCGGCTTCTTTCTCCAATTCTCAAGTCTAATTGAGTTATAATGGTACTTAATCGGTCATAATTAGTCTAATGAGAAGTTAATGAGAGTAAGTGAGGTAGAATCGGTTTTTTTGTTCCTTACTGGGTCAATTTCGTGTTAGAGGATATAATAGGGTATTTCTCCTTAGGAAGTCCAATTGGATCAAAATGACACTAACTAGGTCATGATTAGTCTCATTAGACCCTAATAGGCATAATGGGCCCATTTCTCGTTGACGAGTGTAGTTGGGTCAACATGATACTATATGAGTCGTAGTTGGTATAACTAGACGTTAATGTGACTAATTGAGGTCGAATGGTCCTTATGGGTCCTTAATGGGTCCACTTGGTCCTAGTAGGTAGAATGTGCGCATTTCTTTTCATCGTATCATTTTTGTCAAAATGACACTAAATGGATCACAATTAATCTCGTTGAACCCTATTGGTTTAATTGGCCCATTTCTTTATAAAGAGTCGAATTGGGTCAAAATGACATTATTGGATAATATTTAGTTTGATCAGCCATTAAAGGGTATAATCGGCTTATTCCTCCATTTTGAGTCTAACTGAGTTATAATGGTGCTAAATGGGTTAAAGTTAGTCGAATCAGAAGTTAATAGGAGCAGTCGAGGTAAAATGTGTCTTAACGATCCGTATTTGGTCCATTTCTTGTTAGTGGATATAATGGGCTATTTCTCTACAAAGAGTGCAATTGGGTCATAATGACACAAACTAGGTCGTAATTAGTCTCATTAGAAGGTAATGGGTATAAGCGCACCATCTCTCCTTGAGGAGTCTAATTGGGTCAAAATGATATTGAATGAGTCAAAAATGGTATAACTAGACGTTTATGTGACTAATTGAAGTACAATGGTTCTTAGGGGTTCTTATTGGGTCCATTTGGTACTAGTAGGTACAACGTGCCTACTTATTTTAATCGAGTCATTTTTGTCAAAATGACACTAAATGGATCATATAATTAATCCAATTAGACTCGAAATGGTTTAATAGGCCCATTTCTTTATAAGGAGTCTAATTGGGTCAAAATAACAATAATTGGTTTAGTTCGATCAGGCCTTAATGGGTATAATCGGCTTCTTTCTCCAATTTGAGTCTATTGAGGTATAATGGTACATAATCGGTCATAATTAGTCTACTGAAAGGGAAAGAGTTTCCCCAGGCAATTTTATAAAGACAATAAAAAGCGTCACCAATACAAAAGCAATCAGCAAGAAAAACTACAACAACTTTGACTCACAAACCAAGTCATAAGGAGCCAAAAATGACAAAGGGAAATACACCAAAACAAAACAACACCATACGCCAAAAAGCAACAGGCAAGAAAAACCCATAAGATCCAAAACCGAGAAGGTACACCATCCACATAGTCAAATACCATTGGAATACATAAGCTTCTTCCTTGTCTTCCAAGCCATCCGATGAAGAATCTGCATCTTGATCTCCGCAATAACTTTATCCTCCGAATGATTAAAATTGTCAAAAAAAACTTCCTGTTTCGTTCCCTCCAGATATTATAAACCGTTGCCGATAAACCAAGTTTTTGAACCATAGACTAAGATTTCCAAGTTTGAGTGGACCCTCTGTGAAGGATATCGTCCCAATTGTTTGGATAGTTCGTTAATCCCACCTCCATTTTAATACCTTCCCAAATACTGCTAGAGTAAGTGCATTCAAAAAATAAGTGATTGTGCGTTTCAATCACTAATTTACAGAACACGCACTTTAAGTCCGGTGGTTCATGCTTCCACTGGCTTATACGATCTTGGGTTGGCAATTTCTTCTGGCAAGCCATCCACATACAAAGAGCATGTTTTGGAATGTAAGCTTTATTCCAAACTAGTTTATACCAATGCACAACCGGATTCACCTCTTGTATAGTCTTCCAAGCCACTTTT